GATAACCTATTAACTTGGGCCCTATGTCTTTTTCCTTGAATAAGGCATTATCATCCAGATATACTTAATCTGTAACTATATCAGTAAAAGAATATTTCCATGAAGAAAGGAATACAGACATCAGAAAAGATCTTTTTACATATCGGGAACTGAGAAATTGGCTGTGGATGGCCTGGCAGCAGATTAAATGAGTAATACTGTACATGAGCATGGATTCACAATGGCGTGCTTTCACTGAAATTTGAGCACAGCATCTAACAGTGGGCTACTACATTGTAACACGAAACAATGCCAAAATATAAAGGGAACATACATAGCTCATAATACTAATCTATTTTATATAGCCTGCCCATACAAACCGTGTACCAAAACTTAGTTCCTTCCCTTCCTGCATAAAGATGCATAGAAAAGGACTTACTCTAAAAGGATTGGTACATACTCATGTAGGGGAAAAAAAGTTGTAAGCACCCCAACTGGACACAGTATTGGTGGGGTTGTGTGGCCAAAGGGATGCATGGAGACTGAGTATCCATGGAGAAAATCAGGGACAAACCACTTGGACTTCAGAGCAGCTATGTGCAGCCTTCCTGACTCTGCTTAACTCCTGTCTCCAGCACTGGCAGCACATTTTGCAGAGGGGGATTACTACTGTTCCAAGTAGCAGAAATTTATACTGTGTAATATGTGCCTATTGGAAATGAGTCCATGTGGTGCACAGCAGCTGTTACCTGACCCCTGCTCCCAGCAGCGAGACCAGATATCCTTTTGAGATGCCTGAGTGGCATGTAGGGGCTGCTAATGACTAATGTAGTGAGTAGGAGCATACTGCATAGCCAACTTATAGCTATTTCTGCTTAGCCACTCCACCCAGTTTTCCTGTGTTTAACGTGCTTTTGTTTCCCTCCACCCTAGGCTTTGGATGAAGAAGGGGTTTCTTACAGAACAAAGTAATACAAGATAGTGAACATAATATGATATATATTTCAGAAACAAGGATATAAAGACATTGTATGGTGAATAAATCAAAGCATTCCATCACAAAGCCAATAGTGGAGGAAGAGAGCAAGTAGGAGCATAGACAAGGGAGAAAAGATAAGTCTTAAGATGAGATTTGAAAGGAGATGGGGAGTTAAAAAGTCAGGGAAATACAGATGGCAGGAAATGCAAAGAAAAAATATCCGGCACCAACAGCTTGGAGATTGTAGGAATATAATACAAGAGGAAGAAGCTAAAAAAGTAGTGGGAGGGTGGAGGGAAAGAAGGAGGAACACAGTCCAAAAGTTAAGCTGCAGTAAATCCATATAGATTTTTTTTTTTAAAAGAGACGGTTTTGAACTGGATCCTGAGATGAATGTGGAATGAAGTGGCTGAATCTCAGGATAGGGGTGATATGTTTCCACTTCTTTGTCTAAGTAGTAAGGTGGGTAGCAACATTCTGCACATAGAGGGCAAGGAGATGGGAAGATGATAGAGATGTGAGTTAAGGGGTGAAGAAAGGAATGTAGAGATGAGGATTTCAGCAGAGCAAGACTCCAGGCAATTGAACAGCTGCAGAGGTGACAGGGAGATTTGCAGACCCAGGAGATGGCAGTGGAAGGAGAAGGAGAGTTCAGGATCAAGAATGATGTCAAGGTTATGGATAGTGGAATCACAAGGGGTTCAGAGATGAGTAAGGTGATGGCATTATATTCCCAGGTGCTTCTCTTGTTGTTACGTGATGGAATATCTATTGGTATTCGTTCCAAAATGAAGCCAGGAAAACAAACAGTGAATAAAAGCCAAGTAAATTTTGAAGTTATCCACATGCCTACTGACAGTTGATGGATTCTGTATTAATTTGAAATGTGTAAATTAAGTTCAAGTTATTGTTTAGCAGCCTATCACATCTCTAATTTAAAGAAACATATTGAGAAATGACACAGTGGATGAAAAGCCTCCTTTTAAATTATCATTTAATATTACAATCTTCCTTATTTTATTACAGTAACCTCAATAATTCTGAGCTGAGATGTTTTTTGATCACGTACTTGAGTCCCATGAAGCCAAGAATCCAGAAATCCCCCAAAGTCAATTAGCCAGAAAGATGACGGGAGAAGTATTCAGTGGTTTAGAGAAGAGAGAGTTAATGTCCTGTTGCTAGGCAATAGGGTTCTAGGCTCTTCTCAAAAGCCCAGACTCATGTGGTGTTTTGTTTATACAATGAAGTGTACTTTACTAATCAGAAAAACTGCACACACAGAAATTGCTCTGATTTTTAAAAGAGATTAAAACTTCAAAATAAAAAGCCTCAAATTGGTCCTTTAAGAAGACATACTAACTCCCCCTCCCTTCTCAGAAACAAAGGATACTTGCTCTTCTTTCAGCTTTCTGGCTTAGTAACTTCTCAACATGTTGACATCTTGGCCTTTCAGCCTTATGTCTGTTGACCTTATGGATTGTTGTCTTTATGAGATTTCACCATATGTCTGGATCCCATGCTCAGAACAGCAGTTCCCAGTAGTGGATTATTGCAGCAGCCTTAGAGAGAAGAGCTGACACTGCTCTCTATTGTTGCAATAGCCTTTGCTAGCTCAGCAATACAACTAAACTCTCATACTTCACGGATTTCCTCTCCCTATTGTGCACCAATAGTTTCAGAAGTGACCTATTTGGAAGTCATATACTATCCAAATATTTACTCTCCCAATAGCAGTTTTAATTCTAATATAAATTGCTTGTGTTAGATATGTTTGTGGTATATGGATAGCAGTAATCTCTCTATATGTAATCCTCTTTATGTAGTGACGTAGTATGTGAGTTGATACCTTATTTCCCACTCCAGAAAAAATGGCAGTGAAATTGTTGTCATGTCATGAAATTCAGATGATGTATGTTATTAATTTATATATGCTCTTTCTGTATTAGTTTATGGTAACCAAAATAAAGTGGGCTTTACAGATCTTTCACTGGAAGGATATAATTTAAAGTGATGTATTTAAATACATCAGAAAATATATTATCTACACATTTCTGGTGTACTAAGCTCCCTGAACCATGTTTAGAGAAACATATATGTAAATAAATACCTTCTCCACATGTACCATGGCCTCCCCATGCCTTTTACTGCTCTTCCACCCAAATGCAATATTCTTCTTAACTGAGTTACCCTTGAAATGTGATACCCAGAAACTGAAGTTTTATTATCAATACAACATTGTTTCTGGCATTGTACCAGAATCCAGTACTTCCTAAAATTATGTTACAAAACAGCAAGGGTAAATTTCACCACCAAAAGTAGGAAATGACACAGCTAACAAATTATCCTCTTTCCCCTTAGCAAAGAGGCAAAACCTCCCAGTTGCCTAAATATTTATCAGGGTTCCTGCAACATCCCTTAACAATCTAAGCACTTTTATCACATCCACTTACCCTTATGATAGGGTTTTAATCTTTTTTTAAACTGCTCTAGTGAATTTTAGTGCTTGTGAAAAGTGCTGTACTGACAGCCCTTGAGACAGAAGTTCTCTGTTTACTCACATAACTAGTACAGTACTGCAAACTTCAGCAAAAATGCAAGTTGTTACACTCTTGGGTCTTAAGCTTCAAGAACATGCATTGACAGCTCCCAAAACTAAAGATTTTGAGTTTGTGCCCCCATCTTCACCCACATAACAGATTGTATATACACCCTGCTCTCTGAGCTCACAGCCCTATAGTGTTTCAACTGTCAGTTCCTTTTCAAAAGCTGCTGGCAGAAGAGCTCCCGGTGATGGCTGCTCCTTCTGTTGTTTATTGTTGGTTAAAATAAATTATTTGGGTATTTTCTGGAGTTTTATCCTCCTTTTCAGTAAGGTAAAAGTAAATAGAGAGCAAAGTGCTATCGTGCCATGTGTTATTTTTCTTATTTGTGCTTTCATAAGTTGATAGCTATTAGTTTCTCTTCCTCTTTTTCTATCAAGGACATCAGCATAACTGAGTCATTTGGGGCTGGATTCACAAAGGGGTCTTTAACACCTAGCTGCCATTTCAGGCATCCAAGGCCAACTTGTAGGTATCGCTGGTATTCACAAAACAAACAACCACTTAGCGGCCACCTTATCCTGTAGGTGCATGAAGTCCCCTAAATTTCTGCTGGTGGATATGCACACAGGTGTATAAGTCCTGATGCCGCTGCTCAGCACCTAACTCCTGCCTAAGCCCCAGGGGGATTCACAAGCTTGGCGTTCACTTATTGGGCCCAATCTGTTAGGGCTGCTCAGACATTGCCTAACCTTCACAAAACGTAGCTGGGGCAAGTGCCCAATGGTTAGAGCACTCACCCAGGATGCAGGAGACCCAAGTTCAAATCACCACTCTGTGTGATTCAGAGCAGAGACTTGAACCTGGGTGTCCCACCTGATATATCATGGCTTTAAATACTGGGCTATAGGAGGGTATTCTGGGGGTGGGAATCCCTCCTGTTGAAACTGTCCCACTTTGACAGTATGAAATACTTACAATCACTCAACAAGCAAGAGAAGACTGAGTATAGTCTACTGGTTAGGGCCCTCATGTGGGAAGTGGGAGACTTGGGTTCAAATCCCTGCTCAGAATCAGGCAAGATGGGCCTTTGAATCCAGGATCTCTACAGAGTGTTCTAATTATTGGGCTTAAGGGGCAGTTCCACCTTCTTTTACTCTGTTTTTCCTTGAGAAAAGGGTTGACCTGGTTTAGACACTTAATTTCAGGTGTGGGTTCATGGCTGTGAATCCGGAGTAGAGTTAGGCCCTTCCCTCTAGCCCAAAGTTAGTGCCTAACTCCGTTTATGGGGCAGGGCTTTGGCCACACACAGGGCCGGTGCAAAGATATTTTGCGCCCTAGGCAAAACTTCCACCTTGCGCCCCCCCCCTAAAATAAATCACATACATTATACACAATACACTGTCACAGAGTAACATGTTATAATTTAGAATTTATGTTTCCGCGCTTTAAGTTTAGCAAATTTAGAAACAAGTTCCTCCAAGTCAATGCTGTGAGCAATATCATGTTCCTATTGACAAGATAGATAACCCAACAAGACTTTGTTGCAACATTGATGTTCGCATGTATGTTTTTATCAACTTGAGCTTCGAGAAGCTTCGCTCACCACTGGCCACAGAAACTGGGAGAATCAAGAGGATGCGAAGAGCAATAACTGTGTTAGGGACACTATCTGTCAGCTTATTTTCCCATATGAAGTTCAATACATCTTGCGGTGATGAATTCCTTTGGACTCGTCTTGCAATAGCTTGCAATTCACTGCACAAGTCAAAGGCATCAGTATCTTTGGATTCACCATGTTGCAAAGCTTGCTCCAGATTCAAGCAATGTTCCATAATTTGCTTTGGTGTTTTATTTTGCAAATTGTAAACATCATATATGAAGCCAAATACTGAACTAATTTGCTGCATCAATGTGAATCTGTCTTCAACCGAATGTATTGCTGTGTCAGTGATTGCAAAGTAAAAGTTCACTTTGAATTTTTCTTTCGGATTATAAATAGGTTTGTCATCTGCTTCATATGTGAACTGCTTCCTCTTCTTTCTAATATGGATTGGATCTGGTTCAAAAAGTGCCGGTACATCCAACTCCTCCGCAAGTTCACCTGCATCTACCAATGTTTTCTCAAAGGCTGCGTCACTTCTGCGGCCCACAAGAAACTTCTTGGTTTCTCCAAGTTGATTAATGGCATCACATATGTCGAATTCTTTTGCCTGAAGTTGTTTGCTAGTCATGTTGATCTCAAACAATGTCATACCACAAAACAAGAGAAACAAGAAACTTGAAACTAGAAATGACTTTTGTAAGAGCCTTTGCATCAACTCGTGACGTATTGCCAGATGATCCTGTTAGAGTAGTGTCTTCATAGATGTCTATCAGAGCATCATAGATGCAGGGCCGGCTCCAGGCACCAAGCACCCAAGCTGGTGCTTGGGGCGGCACCCGGAGGGGGGCGGCGCGGCGCTCCGGCCGGCGGGGAGAGGGGGGCCACAGCCGGGCTCGCCGCCCTCCCCCCGGCGCTCTGGCTACCCTCCCCCCGCGCCCTCCCCCCGGCCGCCGGGGGAAGAGCGGAGACCCCGCCGGGGCTCGCCACCCCCCCCCCCCGCCGGGGGCCGGGTCCCCCCCCCCCGGGGGGGGGGGGGGCGGGGGGGCGGCCGGAGGCTTTTTTGCCTTGGGCGGCAAAAAAGCCAGAGCCGGCCCTGCATAGATGTCACCAAGCTGATATTGAAGAGGTTTCAAGGCATCGATTCGACTTTCCCATTTTGTTTCACTCAATGGTTTAACTGTGAGATTAGATACGTGGCGTGTTAGAACTTCCCAGCGATGTGTAGAAGCTGAGAAATACACATACACACGTTGAACTAAATCAAAGAAGGCGGTTGCCTCCAAGCAACACTTTGCAGCATCATTAACAACCAAATTCAATGAATGTGCACTGCAAGGAACGAAAAAGGCTCGTGGATTAATATCCAAAATTCTTCGCTGGACACCATTTTCTTTCCCTTTCATATTGCTCCCATTGTCGTAGCCTTGACCACGCAAGTTTTCTATAGGCAGTGACATCTCTTCTAACTGGTGAAGAATAGTTTCTGTCATACCAGCTCCAGTTGTCTCCGTAAGCGACACAAATCCCAAGAAGTGTTCCTTTATGCATACTGATTCAGTCTCATTCTCGGTCTCTGAAGTAGGCCTATCCACAAACCGAATGATCATGGTCATTTGTTCAACGTGGCCTGCATCTGGTGTACAATCTAGAATGATCGAAAAGTATTTTGCAGCACGAGCAGATGCTAGGATTTTTTGTTTGATGGCATTGGATAGAAGCTGAATAAGCTCATTCTGTATGTCTTTCCCTAGGTAATGTACATGCATCTCCTGGTCCTTAATCCTGCGAAGATGCTCATCCATAAGCGGGTCAAACAAAGCTAGATATTCGACAAATTTGAGAACATTCCCATTACCAGAAGTGTGCAGTTTTTCATGTGTTCCCCGAAAGGCCAGGTTTTGCACACCAAGAACTCTGACCAAAGCAATCAGACGTTTTAGTATTTGCTGCCAATACTTTTCTTCTTGCTTAATCAAGCGCAAATGTTCTTCATCAATTGTTCTCTTGTATTTCAATCGCAGTTCAAGTTCTTTCCAAGTTTGAACATTCGTCAAATGTTCACTGCTTTTCTCGTGCCGTGAAAGAATTGCAGACATGTTTTTCCAATCCCTTGAGCCTTTTTCAGAAAGAGATGATGTGCCAATAGTACTACTGCCAAACAACTTGCAGCAGAAGCAAAAGATAGAATCACTTGATGTGGAATACTGCAGCCACTGATGGTGCATTTCTTCTCCATTAACAAGTCTACGTTTGTAATGAATTATCGAGAATTTTCTTTGCTTACTATCTCTGGGAAAATCGAACTGCTGAACTTGTTCCGGCCCATGTTCCACCATTATTTGTCGGACTTGATCATCGCATTTGGCCCTAGTAGCAGGATCACTAAAGCTCAAATTCAAACGAGTGACATTTTCGCTTTCACGGTCTTCCAAGTTTTGATCCTCGCGTGTCTTATTTGATTCGTCTTCAATATTCAGATTACGTTCTTCAAACTCTTCTTCAACTTGTGAAACTCTCATCCCCACCTCCATCTCTGCTTGAGCCTTCGGCATTGAACTACCTTCATCTCTGGCCAGTGGATGGAGATATTTCAGAAACGAACCTTCTTGCTTGCTTTCTTCTTTTTGCTTATCAGTCTTCCGTTTACTAAATTGTGCCCCAGACAATTTTTTTTATCTGCTATGAGGCTGCATCAACTGAAAACGAAAAAAAATGAAATTTTATTCCTATCAGTTCTTTTTCTTGTTCACTATTAAAAGTAAAGGATAGAGAATACATGTCACTTACTATAAGTCACTATTTGAATTTCATCAACTGTTTGACGTAAATATTGATTAAGAGATCAAGATGACTTTCCCTTAAAATGAAGCAATGTTGATTGTAATCAGAAATACACCCTTTTTAGTCACGTATACTTCCTTCCTTCATTCTTTCATATCAAAATCTGACTGGGAGTGCTGCAGAACCCATTCTGTCCAACCAGCCATGTACCTCCAAATGATTAAAAACATCAAATGGTACAAACTCAATTTGAATGAAAAGTTCCATTTTCTAACTAAATAGGTCACACACTCTCAAATGGTTGCCAAGTGCTCTCTGTGGTATGCTCATCTGCTCTAAATGCCTACTAACTTCCCTGTGAGTATAATCTTTGACTTTGATCCAATGAAAGCAGGATGGAAGAGCCCCCCCCCCCGCCCCAGAAGACCTAAGACATGATGGCTGGATGACATAAACAGACACCTGTCCCTCACAGGCACGACCTCATAACATGCCAATTTTGCTCAGGACAGAACATCATAGAGGAATATTATGCATTCAGTGGTCTCTACACTGCCAAGCAACAGCATGACAACTAACCTAACCTAACCAGTCCATCCAACTTTTTTGACTGCTTCTTGGGCACTGGTGAGGGGTAGCGGTGCCAGACTGAGCCCGGTGACAGGGGTGCACTACAAGTCTACAAACCGAGGCGAGGTGCTAGGCCTAGAGTCCTGCTGAGACTGCAGTCCTGCGCCAAGTGGAGTGCAGCCTCCATGAGGAGAGAACTCAAACAAATATCACGCTCCTTCTGCGTGATTCCCGCAAGCACTTCTTCAGGCAGCTACTATGGGGGTCACTCACAGGCTTAGGCCTACCAGTTGCAGGCATAACACAGCAGCAGGGCTTAAAACGCAGATACCGGGCATGACAGAGGCTGGGGCAGGGAGAGGGGGGCACTGGGGCAGCTCAGCTCTGCAGGCTGCCATCCTCTCCAGCCGCCCACGCACAAGGGGAGCAGGAGCACGGACCAACCACGGACCAAGGGGAGCAGGAGCACAGGCACCCGAGGCCAAGCTGTGGGGAAGTGCTTACCTTGCCCAATGCATGGGCGTCAGGATGCTCTTTCTTCCTCCACTGGACCGCCGCCCGAGGCTCTTTTGTTCTCCGTGCCCCCTGCTGGGGCTGACCGTGGAGGCTGAGCCAGGAGGCAGCCGCCCGTTTCCTCCCGAAGCCCTGCTGCCGCGCCTGTTGCCGGGCTTGTGCCACGTGCGCTAAGCGGAGCTGCGGAGCTCTGCCCAGCCGCCGGCGCTCCTGCCGGCAATGACAATAATTGCATGGAGCGGCCGCTGCGCTGGGAGAGGGAGTCTGAGCCGCCGGCAGCCCAGCCCAGGAACGCTGTAAAAAAAAAATTGGGGGCACCGCTTTTTGGCGCCCTCAAATCTTGGTGCCCTAGGCAACCACCTAGTTTGCCTTAATGGTAGCACAAGCCCTGGCCACACACTGTTCTTGGCATTTCTTATTGCCTAGCTTAGATGAGCTAGCTTCTCTGAATCTGTTTTTTTTTTTTTTTTTAGGCACGTACCGCTCCCTATGCATTGTATAGGGACTCTAGGCACCTAACTAGGGCTTGTGAATTCCACTAGGTGGCAAGGCTCCAAAAACATCTACACTCCCTTGTGAATCTAGCCCTTGGAAGCTTCTTCAGTTCCACTGCCCCCTTTGGTACTTTGATTCTCTTCTCTGGCCTATCCCTGAACAGAGACTAGTAGGTTATACTCAATTACTACTTCATTGTGTCACTCAGGACCTGAGCAACAGGCAGAAGCCTTACCTCGTTCAGAGGTGTAAAGCAGTTAAAGTCTTTCCCTCCAGGTATTAAGACAACAGTAAAGAGTCACTTACTGAAAGATATTTATGAAAGTTTAATGCTTTGATTGGAGCTTCAAGACATTGGTACCACACCTCCTATGAGAAGCACTAGCACAGAATCATCTTGATTCACTATTGTTTAAAGATCAGAAAGGTAGCCGTGTTAGTCTGTATCCACAAAAACAACGAGGAGTCCGGTGGCACCTTAAAGACTAACAGATTTATTTGGGCATAAGCTTTCGTGGGTAAAAACCCCCACTTCTTCAGATGCATGGAGTGTAAATTACAGATACAGTCATAAATATATTGGCACATGAAGAGAAGGGAGTTACCTTACAAGTGGATGATTAGGCCAATTCTGAAATGGTTGTGGGTGAGGACAAAGTAACAAAGCTCAGCCACCAGCTGTGCTGTGGCCTCATCAGGGATATTGTTCCTGACAGTTTGTAGTCCATCCTCGTGTGGAATATTGGTGTAATATTGGACTTTAAAGAGAAACTGCAGAGCTACAATTCATTTGCAAACTTAACACCATTAATTTGGGCTTGAATAGGGACTGGAGGTGGCTAGCTCACTACAAAAGCAATTTTCCCTCTCTTGGTATTGATACCTCCTCATCAATTATTGGGAGTGGACCACATCCACCCTGACTGAATTGGCCTTGTCAACACTGTTTCTCCACTTGTAAGGTAACTCCCTTCTCTTCATGTGCCAATATATTTATGACTGTAGCTGTAATTTTCACTCCAGGCATCTGAAGGAGTGGGAGTTTTTTACCCACGAAAGCTTATACCCAAATAAATCTGTCAGTCTTTAAGGTGCCACCAGACTCCTCGTTTTTATTGTTTAAAGAGTAGTTGGTCATGTATTGTGACTCGTCTTCTAGAACTTTCAGGGAATTGAAACTCTCAAGCCTCTGGTACATCCAGTTATGCTGCCTCCTGAGTCTGAGACATTGACAGATAAGGGCCTTTGGGTCCATACTTGGGACATTACTTGGGACAGATATCAAAGCATCCCCTCTGTAGGCTCTGAGGCTTCAACACAGCATCATCTTCTAAGGCCTGTCATTTCCACACACTTTTGTTTCTAAGCATAGAGGCTTTGATGCACTCACCTCCTAGGACAAATGTATAGGCAAGGCTTTGTTGTACCTTTGGCTCCAAATACTTAGGCTTCCATGCAATGATGAAGCCCTGATGCAGCATTATTTCTGGAGTGAGGTACAGATGGATCTTTATTTCTAAGTTTGAAAGCTCCAATATGCCCTTACCGCTTGAAGCCAAGGCTCCAGTCCATCTTCCCTTCTTAAAGCTCCAGAGAATTGTAGCTTCTTGACTCCAGTGCACTTTCCTTAATTTGCTGTCTGCTAATGAAGTCTGATACAGGTTCTACAGTCTAGAACCAAGACACATGCATCATTCATGCACTGAAGCTCCAGAATAGCATTACTCTGGTGTCCAATGAGAGAGACTGTAAATAGTGCTGGTTACAGAAACTGAAGCACTGATGTGTTTTGTCCCAGATATTGTGGTTCAGTCATAGTGTAACCTCTGACCACTAAGATGCCAGCCAATGTTGTCTTCTGGCATTGTGGTTATGTGATGACATTGGCTCAGGAGGTCAAGGCATTCCACACAGCTTGGTCTCCAGTAAGGGATGCAATGTTACCCCCCCCCCCCCAAAGGTCATGCCCCATGTAACCTGCTTGATTCAAGACTGCAATATTTATCCCCTCCTATTACACCTGTAGTGCATACATCATGTCTAGGTGGGTTTCAGTTTGGGGGGGACATACAGTGTTTGGTTCATATACAGCTAATGGCTCAGCACTTATGGATAAAGGATTGAGGTCCTAGCTTCTCATTACACCCTAAGTTTGTGAAGTCCAGTAGGATTTGGATTTTTGCAGTGACTATTTTACTGTTTGACTTCATTTGCAAACGCAAATGTTTAATCTTATCCACAAACCTTTTAGCGGTGGATTGAAGTGGCATTCTATAGGATATCCTGAAGTATTTTCTGCAGTGAAATGGTGAATGCAGGTAAAATATCTAAAATCCATTGCCCATTAAATCCTGCTTAGGGCAGGATCAGTCTCTATCTTATATGAATTCATATTTGATGTGTACAGTATGTTTGATCCTATGGTGCCTAACAAAATGCATCTTGGAAGGATCTCACTTTGCTGCATAGCCAGTCCTGCTGGAATAATATTTTTGCAGGGAGTAGGCAGTTTGTCAGCATGTGCTTTCATGCAGCTTCTAATTTAACTGAGCATGAAAGAATTGCCAAGTAATTTCTAGTTAGAAGCCTAGAACCTTTTGCTATGTTGGCCTTCCAAGTTGTCTGTTCTTTAAATTCCCCAAATGGAGTGTTTTTTCAGTATATGGTCACTGATTGAATTTAGCTGAGCAGACATTTTCACAAGTCTTGCCATCCTGGCCCACTGCTATTTGCGTTATTTGAATGTTGTCCTTTTCTTTCCCCAAGCTGGCTGACCTGCCTTTTCAGTTTCTATTAAACAGTCTGAAGCCCAGGTTGTGGGGTTTGTCAGACTAGCACAGACCAGCTCTGATCTGCCTGATCTCTTCTGTGCCAAGGCAGTGGAGTTATTTTCTTCTTGCCCTGAAGACCTCTGAAGCTCTTTGTGGATTAAGGTTGTCTCTTTAGGGAAGAGAGTCAGAGAGCAGTCAGTGGATGTTGCCTCTTCTCACTCAGAACCTCTAAGATTTAAAGTCCTGAGAATGATATTTGCTACTGAGATATTGGCTCATCTTTGATATGTCCATCTGATTTTGTCACTCATTAATAGCTGGATGTTTTGGAGCACTGATAATCTCAGTGGTTTAATGTAAAATGGTTTACTTTGTGCTTTAGCATTATCATTTCTCCTTCAAAATGGGAGAGTTAAAGTACA